GCGTATTAGTTCATAAAAATCATTTTTATAGTGTGATTCACCCTCTGTACTATTTCAGAGTGCCAGTTTAAGTGTGTTTACAAACCCTCCCTAGTCACACTTCCCCATCTAATGATATATTTGAGTAACAATCTTTATAGTTTACCAAGCTAAGCCAACAACAGCCAATAATAAGTAAAACTAAAGGTCTCAGATAATTATGATGTGGGATTTGCATGTATTATCAAATTGGACCTGAAATGCTTTCCCGAACATAAATTCCTTTTTTTTCAATATAACCACAAAAAGACCTGAATCCTATTCCACAAACCCTGGATAAGAAATAACATACCTTAAAATTACTGATATTCAAGTTTACCTTTTCAAATTCCAAAAGGAGTTCAAAAATTTCATGTTCACTTGGGTATTTAACAAGCTTTTCTTGAAAATCTTCATAAAGTGAAGCACTTGCTACAAAGTAACAATAAAACCAGTTAACTAGATAAATACATTACTACTAACAAACAGAAACTGAACATATTCCATTTGAAATAAACATATTAATCTTGTAAAATTAATTTAATTTGAAATATTTTAATAATGTGTTTATTTTCTCTCGACATTTTTTAAAGTAATACATATGAAGTTACATTGGTTTAAATTAAAATGCATTTAATATTTTGTTTATTATGATTCATTTTAGTACAGACAAACAAAAACATTCAATGCAATAAACATGTCCACATCCACCTGTCTCCTAAAGACAAAAAAGTACAACATGAACCAACCATGTAAACCAGGATCATCTTCAGCCAAGAGGGCAGCACTTGTTGTAGTCACATCAACAGTGTAGTCTGCTACTGTAGAGGTCTAAATGAAAAATGTTAAAACTAGTAAGTTATAAAAACAATGTTATATAAATTAAGAATGGTCTTTAAAAAAAACATGTGCTCTGGCACTTACAATACACAACAAATTAACTTTTAACTGTTTTAATTTTTCAAGAATTATTGTTTCAATAATAAAACACACAGCTTCAACTAGAAATGCCTTACATAAGAAAGGTTCGACTCCGGAGACTTTAAATGACGCTTACAATTTCATTATTTCTAAAAAATATGCTAAGTAACATGATATCAGTAATATTATAGTATTATTACATATCAGTAACTTTAATACACACCACTTGATTTTTACATAAGATGAAGAGAAATTCTTATTACAATTTTGACTTCTCAACAGTTGAACGTTTATGATGGGGCATCATTTACTGCTCATGTCAAGAAGTTTTAATGACTTGCATTCAGAATTTTATTAAACTACTTTTTATTTATGTTATACCCATTAGTATAGCATAAAATCTTAGCTAATAATCCATATTTTAATAGTATATATATATATATATATATATAT